GCTGTACTGTCACAGGAGGAGGGGATGGCAGCAAACCACTTCTTGGCTGCATCTTCTACTTAAGTTCTTCTACATCTGCTGTTTAGGAAGGAATTTGATTGATTAATTCCCACAACGTTATGAGAAAGATCATTATAATTACTGTTGTTTTAGCACTAGAAAACCTGCATATAGGAAGGTTACACGACTTGCCCAAGGCCATGTTGCAGGTCAGTGTCAAAGGCGAGGAGGTAGACCAGAACTGGCCTCTCAGGCTGCTGTTCAGATCTCATTAGGCCAAGCTCCTCCTATTTGTGTATTCCTTACCTGGAAAATGTGTGGAAATAGAACGTGTTACTAAACTTACACTACTAAAGTAACGGCCAGCAAAAGCACTACTAATGGTGGGCTGGGATGTGCTCAGAGCTGACGTTGGGTCTTCCTTGTGACAGAAAGCCAGGTAAGCATTAGCAGAAGGGATGGGGAAGGAGAGACTTCTCTTTCTGTAGTGTTTTTGTCTTGATTGTGTTGTTGTGTAGTTGGCCTAATCAAGATGCAAGTTGATAGGAGCATCTTCTGTATGTATTCTTCCACTCATTTCCAAAATTTGTGTCAGCACGATGCTTCCAACACTGCCACCTCTCTCCATGATCCACTGGCTCCATTCAGATACTGTTTTAAGTGAATGCAGACCCCAGTCTCTATAATGTGTTCTGTTTCTCTTCACAAAGGGCAATGGTTTCTTCTGTCCCCCTTTAATTTTGTGATGGGAAGCATAAATATGTAAAGTGATTGAAAAAACCAATCCTAACTTCATATATCTGATGCAGAGACCTGATCTGACCAACTTCAGTGAGAGCTTGAGATCTGATGAAAATATAAGCTCACCTCTCCCTAGGACTGTGAAAGAAAACTGAATGTTAAACATGAATTAAATAAATAGAGAACAGAAGAGGGGAATATCATGATGCTAGATACATCCTTGATGTGCCTGCAACTTCAATATTGCGTGCAGTTGTGTTTTCATCATTCAAAAAGCTTCAGAGATGCCCACCGGGATGGATGGCCAGAGGCATGGAGTGGCTTCTCAGCAAGGGATGACTAAACAGCCTGGGATTCTTCAGCCTGGAATAGACAGCTGCATTGTATTAGCAGTCTCTGGAAGTATAAACCTCTCTTCCAGCACAAGAACTGGAAAGCCCAATAAAGCACTTTGGACTGATTCAGAAAATGAAAAGAGGAGAGGTCTGAATAGAGGTAATACTGAAATTTAACTAACAAATCTGGCCCGAATGGGGGAAAAAATCCTGTAAAAATCACATCGAGGGGTTTCTTGTAAAAGCTGACCACAATTCTTGCATCTTTTTGATGTGCACAGCTCAACCCTGTGTTCTTTCCTTTTGCGTCCTCCCGGTAATGAACTAGACATGCGCACCTACTTTAAAAAGAGAGGAAAATATGTTAATTTTTTTGTCTTAAGTGGAGATTTCCAGTGGCTGACTGAATCCTTCCTCAATAATTAATGCCTGAAAGCATTTTCTCTAGTACTTACTTAAATGAAATAACTTTGTTGTCCATTATTGCGGCGCTGCATTTTGATTCTGTGAGCGTGCGTTACCGCTGTCTGGTACTGCATTACAGGTATTGACTTGAGTTTAGTAATAGGGAAACGCTGCAAGGAGTCCGTCTGTACTGAGACCTTGCGGATGAGCCTCCTATTGCCACGCTTCAGCTTTGCGTGCCATTAGGGTCTTCCACCGTAGTCAGTAGGGAGCTACAGCCCAGAAGCCAGAAACATCAGGCAGATCTAATTCGATTTATTTATGTGTTTATTCTGTCTGAGTCAAAACATGGAGCAGTAAGCCAACATCTTTCTTTGTTGCCTTGAAAAGCTTTTAATGCTTTTTCAGCAACTAGTGTCATACTTAAAGAAAATAAATCCTCTCAACTTTATTATTCAGCTCAATGCTGTGTACAGTAGGTGCGTAAGTTATTTGCTAAATGTTTTATGATGAAGGTTATGTAAGTAATGAGCTTTTACATTTTGGCACCAGAGAGTAACAGAGCTGTGTGTAGTACTTTGTAACTTGATGTAGGAAGGAAGCTCTTCTAAGTCCTCTGTAATGACATGGCACAGCAGGAAGGTGAACCTGGATTAATTTGCAAATTAATCCAGAGGAAATGTGACAATGAGCTTTATTTATTTTTTTAGCTAAACTTTTCCAAGTCTCTTAGCTCAAAGATGAGATCTTAAATCTATACAGAGGTCTCTGAGTAAAATCAGATTTTCTCAAAGATGTCTTCAACTTCTGTTGACTTCAGTGCCAGTCACAGAAGCTGGCGGGCTTTGTGAGAATAACACATAATAAATGTTGCTCTGCCTATAGTATGGAAACTGTATTTGCAGTTGTGCTAATGAGAGTTATATGATGGCGTGTCGTATATATTCTATGTCATTACAAAGTAGAATCTGGAGTGTACATGTATATTGGACTTTACTGACTAATTTCTTGGGGTTCTTTGTAAGTGACTCTAATTTCCAAGCATGTCCAAAATCTCCTGGAAAATCCTGTGTATCTCCATTCCTTGCTGGAAGGACTCAGGAGTCAGTCTGTCCTGGTGGCTCCACAGAGGTATTTACCTCTGCTCCCTCCCAGGCAAAACTGGAAGACATTTCCCAGCTAAAATACGGGCATTTTGAACCATTACAAGAATGGTTTTCCTTCCCCCGGTGGGTGGTGATGTAACCGTAGGAAGAGTTTGGATTGTGAAAAATCAGTTATTGTCTCCTCCTTTAGTTTTACTTGCTTTTAGATGTCATATCCTGTTCTTCCCAGGGTGAAAGCTTAGCAGAGGTTCATGTTTTAGACTAAGATGTATTAATTTTGAATCAAAACCATAGATAGAATAAACCGCAGCGAGCGGCATTTCTGTGGTGTGTTGTGTGAGGGCATTGCATGTGCTGCAGGTTCATGAGACTAAAATACCATGTGCTGTCGTTGTACACATCTTCAGGGGCTGCGTTGCTTCTGATGGCATCGCTGAGGAAATGACTAGGTTTTTGGTTGAGAGTCAGCTTCTTCACTCACAACCCAGTCATCCAAATAATGAGTCTGAAAAGTTATTTTCCTCATTAATGCAAATACAAAAATTGTGACTCTAATGTCAACATACGCATTAAATCCACCTGAGAACTGGACACTGAGCGTACAGGCTGAAGAGAACATCATGGAGCTCCTCAGCTGCATATAATACAGCATACAGGTTAAGAATAAGCTACAGAATTGGGGAGGAGGATAGAGGTTTGTTAAATTTAAAAACTGAATTATATATTAAAGGTAACAAAAAAGATTATTGCTTTGGATCAGGGACTTTTTTTTTTTTTTGGTAGAAAGTATGACCTGAGCATATAAGTAGGTATAACAGGGATCAGTTTAAAGGGAGAGAAAGCAAAGGTAGTTTTGCAGCATGCTGCTATACCAGTCAGTCTCCTACAACAAAAATGCAAGATCTGTGCCAGTTTGGGCTGGAGGAGGCAGGCACAGGGCTTGGCCTTTTGGGGTGGTGCCAGGGTGCACGCACCCAAATGCATCAGCTCTCAGAACAGTACTGCCCTTTCCGTGCTGCTAAATGCAGCTGCAGCACAGCCCAGTGTTTGGCAAAGATCCCATGGAGCATCTCCCCTGGTTCCTCATCCCTCCTCTTTGCCCACCTGCCCTTTCTCCAGGAGGCAGGAGCTGGTGGTACTCTGCTCTCGTGCCAGCTTTGTCCCCAGTCCTAGACATGGTGCAGTTTCATTTCTCTGTTGATAGCAACAGTTAACTCGAACACAGCATGCGGTGCTGTAGGAGATCAATGTAAATGTTTCTTGTGGAAAATTGATGGGGGTTTTAGTTTAATAGTGAGTGAATTGCTAATCATCTTGTCGAGAGCAGCTGGTGGACAGGTATTCAAGCTTAGTTCTCAAAATCATAAACTTCATAAAAAATTGCTTGTACTGTCTTTTTTTTTTTTTTCCCCCAGCATCTTTCTTTTCCACTTAGTCACCTACATTTCTAAATATGCCCTTCCTTCACGTGCCACAAACTTTACATAAAGAAGCTTTATGCCAGGTCAGCCAGGACCGCAGTGATTTCAAGTAATTATTGATAATTAATAATAACAATAACAATAAAAAAATAATAACAATAATTGTTATCGACGTTGCATACACGCAAATGAAAAGTGCATTTGAAATGAAAAGTGCATTGCAACACATAAGTGTATTTAGTGAGTATTTCAATGCAGATGTAGGCATGGTTGCATTTAACTGTTATGCTGCCTTTTTGAAAAAATCTTGAGCTGTTTGATAAGGAAGCTGAACTTAAAAATGAAGTCTTTCTCATAACCTCTGCTCCCTCCTACGCAAAGGCAGAAGCAGGAACAGCCTGCATCTTGAAACGGTCAGCGCGGTGGCAGAGGGCCAGTGTCATGGCGCGGCGTCAGCGTTGATGACTCTGCAGAAGGCGATTGCCTGCAAAGCCTGTCCTTTGTCACCCCTCAACTAGAGAGCTCAGGGCAGTGGCTTCTTGATCCGGAGAGCAGTAGGAAAGGTCTCCGCAAGCCTGCCAAGGAAGAAGAAGTTGCCATCCAAGGAGGCTTCGTTGTGTGAAGGTTATGACAATGTGCCGTCCTGAATAATTCATCCTCCGAACAGAGCTATGGCAGCACTCTGTCAGCTGTGACAATAAACTGTATCTCCAGATACTTAGCCAAGCTGCCTATTCTGCTGGGTGAGCGTCTTATTAAAATCTCTTAAGTTGATACCTCGGCTAAAAATATCTTTGTTGCTGTTTAACCACAGAATTTCCTTCTTAACTTTTAAAATAGTGGTGATCGCTAGCCACTTAAAAATACTGTGTCACCAACAACGTCTGATTGACTCATTTAGATTTGCTGTCAGTGTATCGCTAAGTCAGATGCTGCAAATAAAATCTTAAGCAAAGCAGTCTAAGGAAATAACAAAACCTTTTGGGTGAAAGCGTCAGTTGCAGGGTTATTGAGGACACAGCTGTGAGAGAAGTGTATGGTCACAGAAATAAGGTATGGAAAAAACGAAGGAGGTGGAGAGAAACCTTCCTAGTCAAAGGCTTGAGTTGGGTACTAGGGGATTACAGGGGGGTTTGTGCACCAGCTTATCTATCTATAAATATCTATATATCTATTAATAAATTTGTCATATTTTCTTAAATCCATACATCTGGCAAAATTTTCCGGAAGGTGGGAGAGAGAACAAGAGGAAACGGGCAGGACGTTTTATTTCTCTTTGCGTCATCCTGTGGCAGGTGGGGACTGGGAGTTGGGCAGGACTGGTTTCATTTCCAGAAGAGGAAGCTAAGGTCCTCAAAACTGGGGGGCAGCTGGGCAGTGACAAAGGAGACCTGGTTTCCTCCCGGGACGCAGGAACATCTTGCTGTCCAACCATGATGCTAAGCCTTTCAAGAGGTGACATGGATATTTTCTTTGCAAATACGTCAAAGCAGGAGCTGGTACTGAGGCACTGCATAAGCCACAGTTGCCGGCAAAGCTTCAGCTGAAGTTTTTGCTTGCTAAAACTCAAGCAGGGAGGAATAGAGGATAACTGTAGAAGCACGTTTTCCCTCCTGTAGTCCTTGTGGATGGATACGGGGGGCTGTTTCATCCCTTGATACAAGTCACAGTATCCTTCAGAGTATTTTCATTTTTCCCAATTTCTTACAGCCCCAGCAGGATTGTTGTGCTTTGCAGAAACCACTGGTCCCATCAGATGCACCTGTGTCAAACCTGCTTGCTAGGAAGGGCTTAAGAAAGTGCTGAAAGCAGGCCCACAAGGAGCAGGAGTTACACTGAATTGGGAGGATACTCTGGAAAAGTCACAAAGCTCAAGCCAGGCTCTAATACTGTTCCCACCAAAGCTAAAGCTGTTGGATTATTAGAAGAATAAGGAGTTTACAGTAAAAGAACTTAAGACTTCTAAGAGTGATCTTTTCCTAAAAGAAAAAACTGAAAGTCCAGCATCCTTGTATTTTGTTGGTTTAATAACTCTGCCATTCATTAAAAGTACTGCTATAGGGTTTTTTATAGGGTGGCCGGTAATGTCTAGATGTCTCAAGGTTACAGTTACCGTGGCCATACCTGGTAAGGGATTTTGAACGTATCTGGCGATAGCTGTGTGTGATAACACAAGCTGCATCTGGCTGTCTGTTGTCTTTTTTGGAGCTCCTAGTTGTTGGGATGCAACATCCAGTGCCACCCAGCAAGACTGGACAGTGAAACTATTTTGTTTCAAAACCAAGATCTCAATTTATTTACCCAAGTTTGCCCACACATCCTTAATGTGCATACAAGAGCTGGACACAAGCATCCCAGCTGAGCTCTGAAATCATGTGGTGACTTGATAAGGAGGTAAGTGTCCACAAGGTTTTAGAAGTACTGAATTAGGAATAGCAAAACTTTCCAAAGCAAGTATTATTTTAAATGCATCTAACATTGGTAGCACCTGCTTTTCCCTGTAGTTCTGAATGTGGTTTCTCCCTCTCCCCAGCAGCTGTGACCTGCAGTGACAGGTACACGGGACTTCGTGTGAAGCTAGGGCTAACCTATCTGCTTCAGTTACCAGACTGACCTGAATCCTTTACCAACCCATCGTGTCTCTTCCCCATCTTTGCTTGCTCAAAATTGCAGTTGTGAGTCCAGTCCTTGCTGGAGCCTCTGACAACTGCCACAAGCTGGTGGTGAATGATCCAGGTGCTGCCTCGCTCCTGCAGCGCCTTTCTGCAGATGGTGTGCATTGCAATCCCTTCCCTGACTTGCTGGCAAATGACTAAACGTCCAGGATCGAACCTTGATTGTCCTAGTCGGTTCTTGTCCATCAGAGCAGCTGGGTTTATTTTTGCTTCCCTTGCCTCTGTGATGGTAGGCTGGGCTCGGTCCTGGACTCCTGAATGGCGTGGTGCCCGTGCTCCCCGCCTGCCAGCTGAAGCCTTGGCTTTCCTCTCTCTTGCTGGCCCTAACGGGATCTCGGTGTCCTCTCCTTCCCACAACATGAGTGAGGCAGTGAGGTGACATTAAAGTACTGGAACAGCAGATAAAAGGCCCTTACTATATTTATTGAGTGTTACAGATAAGTAATCCACTCTGCTGTCAGTGTCAAGAGAAACAGCAAGTAAAGTATACATGCCCCTTGCTTTGATGTGATGAAATCTCCAGAGGACGTTTACTTCAGTGGTGTTCGCAGTGCAGCTGTAGCCGGGTTTTTCAGTGGAAAATATAAGATTTTCATGTCTTTATGCATTGCTTTAAAAATATCGCTATGGCTGATTCTTGTACGCCGGACAATTCCATGGTCTGAAAGCTGGTTTTTTTTCCAAAATGTTATTAAAATCATCTTAACCGTTTTTGTTGGAAGGGGAAAAATTAATAGTTATTTTGTGGTTTCATACACAACATTAAAACAACAGTCTGGTTTTCATTTAAACCAATAAAAGTATGGAATTCAAAATGAAGGCTCTCTTCATGTCCTTAGATCAACTTATTGGCCTTGCTAAAATGCACAATGGATGGAGCAGGGGAAAAGCCTCAGTCTTACAACTTGTAGCATTGTTTTCGCATACAGTTCAGCTTTTTTGTTGCTGGATTTCAAACTTGACGTCACTTTATTGCCTGTCTTCTCAAGCTATAAAAACTTCCTTGGTTTTTTCAATTTGCAGCAGTTTAGGATCTGGTGAAACGCAGATGTTATTTTTACAAGACCTAAGCAATAATTAAGCAAATTGGTTAGCAAAGGTACATCCGTAATTGAATTAATGCACTTCTGAATTTTGAGATATAAACCTGACTGTTTGGGACAATGGGTATTAGTCATTTCTGGGTTTTGGTATGGTCAGAAAAAGAGACCAGAGGCATCGGCACAGCTGCAGGACGGGAAACCCCGGCCGGCCCCAAGGAAACAGCCCGTCCCCGTGGGAGCGGGGCATCCCGGCACGGGGCCCCGAGCAGTGGGGGATCCCCATCCCTGGGGATGCCCCGACTTGCCGGACACGGCCCCCAGCAACCTGCCGCAACCGCCTCAAGCCTGAGCCTGGCCATGGGTCTGATGCAGTCGTGTGCGGGGTGGCTAGCATTGCAGCGCTGCACCTCTGTTTCCACCCTATAGGTTCCCCTCCAGCTCCGGTTTGCCCAAGGACAGGGCAGGACTGAGTCTGGAGAAACTCCTCAGTGTTTCTGGGATTCACTTCTCGCCGATGAGCAGTCTGCCACTGTCCCCAAAATGCCTGCAGGTGCTGGGCGGTGTAACCCGGTGTCCTTAGCCTGTGTGTTATTCCATCTCCCCAGGGCTTTGAGAAGTGACTTCTTCTCAAAGCTGTTCCTTCCCTCGCCGCTGTGAACGAGCCGCCTTAGCTGTTTACAGCCCTTTGATCTGTTAAGGTGCAGCTCTGTCACTTCTGGCTGGTGCCCACACCCTCGAAGCTGCCTGCCCTCCCTCTTCTCCCCTTTCCTGGGAGGGAGGTTGCTTAGCAGGGCTCACTGATTTCCTTCATATGCTTTCCCCAGCATCCCCTGGCCAAGCTCTATGTGTATGTGTATACTTAAAGCCGATAAAATAGTAATTTATCTTTGATTACTGCACTGCTGTTCAACATCCATCCCCAATGACCCCTAACACCTTCTGAAAGTTTATAGCTTGTGAAGACAGGTCCATAAAGCGATGTTAAGTCTTAAAACGAGGTACTTCAGAGCCAACTGGCTCGCTCGGCTTTGGAAACACTTAACGTTGTGAAGGTTGTACCTGCTGAAGTGCTCCATGTAATAAACCATTTGCCTGAGCAAATTTAAACCTGCCAGTCCCTTCCCCTGCAGCAGCCCATGTATGCTGTGGAGCAGAGGCGGGGTACGGGCTTAAGCAGCTCAGCTCCTGCAGGCCCAAGCTGGGCGGTTCGTCTCTATCTCGGACGCATTCCCACAGCGCAGAGGCTTCTGCGTGCTGAGCTTTGCCGGGGGAATTTGCTTCGCAGGCTGGAGGAGGTCTTGTTTATTTTTTTTTCCCCTAAGGGGAAACGAGTTGCCAAAGTAACCTGGACAAAGAGTTGTGTTTTAGATGGGATATTACAGCTTCATATTTATTTGCTTGTTTATAGGACTCTTATATTCTTTCGAAGCACAGCAAGACTGCATAATACATTGTGATTATTTATCATAGCTGTAAGAAGGGGGCCTGGTGGTGACAGACACCTCAAAACCCAGCTGTGTAGAGCCCTTACCTGAAAGAGGACAGGGGTCTTTCTGGACAAGATCTGTCCCCTCCGCCATGCAGCCTGTGTTTAGCAGCAGCTTTGTTCCCTGTCCGGGCTCTTGTGGTCTGCCAGGAGGAACTGGGACAAGCTCTGCTGAAATCACTAACGTCGCTGATCCGACTTGGCAGTAAAGAGCCCCTGAAGACGGTTCCCGGATGCTGGCACCGTGTGCCTGCGCTGTTAAATTCACGGCTTGAGCGGGAAGCTAGCACAGGCCAGGGAACATTTCCAGCGGGGCGGGATGTGCGAGGTCCTCTCGTGCTGGCATCCTTTCCTCCAGGGCAGTCCTCCAGCCCGCCCCGCATCCCTGCTTAATCCCCTCCCTTCCCCTCCTCGTCGCAGGCTTTGCCAAGCGGTGGTGCCATGCCATGAAATCTCCCAGTCCTGGGGGCTGCAGAAGCTGGAGAGAAGCTGTGGAAGAGGGGAAGGATGGAGCAGGATGGAGATGACAGCCTGCAGGAGACTCGCAGACCTGGGGGAATCCTGCCAGCGCCTGGGTCAACTCAAAACCTTTGAACGGCACGAAAAGCCGGGATGAAAGCCAGCGCCCTGCTGCAGCCCGGGGCGGTTGCCCTGCCAGGCTGCTCTGGAGGTTTGGCATGGAGCCCTGCGCACCCAGGAGCCCTGGGCCCCAGGGGAGCAGCCTGGCCTGGTGGAAGGCAGAGCGAGCCTGGGTGGGGTCTTTTGCACACTGTAGCTTTTGGAGCCAGCCGGCCAGGTGGCACACACAGCCAAGGGTCTGCACCATATCTGGAGTCCTGGGGCGAGATGGGAGCCACCAGTTCCTCAGCTGGGACATGCTCAGGGTAAAGCAAGAAGAAATGACCTTGAAGAGCAGCTCTTGCAACCACTGCTTTCTGTTTTTCTCTGGAGCACATTGTATGGGGTTCTTGTTCCATAGAGAGCATGTATGTGTGCTGCAGAAGCCCGTTCAAGGCATTAGCATACCGACAGCATTCTCCATGCTAAACCGTTACTGGGTCTTGGTCACAGACCAGCGGTATAAGAAACGGGAACCCTACCATACCATTACATGGAGGCAGCTTTGCCAAGGGAAGGTGACAGCAGAGATTGAGGGGTCTTTGACCCAACACTTATCATAGAATCATAGAATGCTTTGGGTTGGAAGGGACCTTTAGAGCTCACACAGCCCTGCAGTGAGCAGGGACATCTTCAGGTAGATCAGGTTGCTCAGAGCCCCGTCCAGCCTGACCTGGTTCTAGGGATGGGGCCTCCACTACCTCTCTGGGCAACCTGTGCCAGTGCTTCACCACCCTCATTGTAAAAACTTTCTTCCTTATATCTAGTCTAAATCTATTCCTCCTTAGTTTAAAACACTTAGCGGAGTTCCTGATGGATCCTCCTTGGAAAGATCTAGGTGCAGGGGCGAGGTGAGATGCAGCTGGGCCCCCTCAACACCTTCTCAGAGGCAGCATCGGACTGGAGAGGGAAAGGGAGCTTCTTCAAACCCCATCGTGCTCAGCCAGTCCTACCCTCCTGGACAGGCCTGTCCTCTGGCTTCCTTTGTCAGGCAGCTCCGCCACCACCACCCCTAGTGCCAGACGCCTTATTTCTCCTCCTTTCCTCTCCCCAGCTTTTATGGGTCGATCAGTGTTTCTTTCTGCCCCCCACATTTCTCTGTTCCCCAGCACGTTTGTGTTAAAATTTGTGAGGGTTTTTCTTGGGGGCATTTCAACATTTATTTCTGATGGGATTTGAGATGGAATCTGACTTGTGATCCTCTGGTGTGCTGGTGATTAGGTAAGGCTGGTGTGGGTGTGGAGGTCATGGTGGGGTGGGAGTGACCAGCCAGGAACCTCACTTAGGAGAGGACTCTGTACATGAGGTCACTGTTTCAGAGGGGGAGGCAAAAAGCAGCCTCTGAAATCAGTCTTCTCCATGATGTGCAGAGGATTAGAGTGGAGAGACATCACGCAAAAAGTACACAGCTAGAGAAAGAACAGGATGGGGCAGATACCTGTGAGTAGCCTGGTGGGTTTTCAGGTGAGAGATTGTGACTGCAGACCATGCATCCTCCCATAGAAGGCACCTGTCTGTGAAGAGTGGACTCAGTGTCCTTGGTGAACCTTCTCTGGTGGTCTGGCAAGGCTTCTGAGACATAGTAGGCTTCATGGCTTACTGAGCCTCTCAGAGGACACTGAACAGGGACATGAATTGTGTCCGTGTGCATTTTGGGAGGACACATGGAAGTGTTGCCAGAATGGACCAGTCATGACGAGGAGTTTGGACTCGGCACCTGTAGACTTGCAAAGCTGAAATGGCCACCCATAGCTGGGGTGACACCAGCTCTCCTCTCCACCAGGACTGGCTCAGGAATGACACTCTCCCCTGCTCATTGTCCTCTGCATGTAAATAGACTCTGAACACAGGCAGCCTTGATGCTGTTTGAGAAGGGAGTATGCCAGTAGCAGTGGTGGGAATGGACCTTGATGCAGACCAGTGGTATGTAGGCTTTACAGGTTTAGTGGCAGTTGTTGCAAGGACTTCTCAGCACAACTGAATGTGCTCTCCAACATGCATCCTGCTGGAAAACGCTCTGCCAGTGCTGCTGGACCCCTGCCCCTGGCCGGCACCGCATCAGTCAGGAGTGCCTGCGTCATGGCACCATGCATGGAGGCTTGATTTGTAGCCCTGGTTCCTAGAGCCTTGCCTTGGCACAGCAGGATGTATTGGTTCCTGGGGAGAGAGCGTGTGCTGGTGGAGTGAGTGTGTGATGAAGCCATCCTGATTGCAAGTTCTGAGGAGCAGCATTAGTCATGACAGCAAGGTCAGCCACACCAGCGTTCTTCTTCGAAGCACGTTAATTGCAGTCGCGTGGAGGTGGCTGTGGTATGGGTAAGGTACACAGAATCGCCCAGTCCCACCAACTCCAGCTGGAGGCACACTGCTCCCAGCAGGCCCAACACCGCAGTTCCAGCAAGTTGTATGGGGCCGTGTCTGAGCGAGTCAGGGCAGTCCCCAGGAATGGAGACCCCCTTTAGTGGACCACGTTAGTGACCCTGCACAGGACTTTATCCAGTTTGTTCTTGTCTCCCTTGTACTGGGGGGCACAACCAACTGCACTGTGAGTCCAGGTGTGGCCTCACTTGAGGGGAATAATGCCTTCCCTTGACCTACTGGATGCTCTCACACATGGGGCTGGTTGGTCTTCATTGCTGTGACACCTGGCCAGCTGTGTGCATGAGTCTGCAGATGTCTCTCACCTGCGGAGCCTTGCGTGGAGAGCTGCCCCCTCCACCAGCCCATCCCAGCCTGCCCCATGTGCGGGACTGGGCTGTCTTGGGGCTGGACTTCTGCTGAAGTCCTTCTGAAGATAGCACTCAAGGCCTGCTGCCTGTGGGAGGTGCCATGGTGGATATGGCCATCGGCTGCTTCTTTCTTCATACAAGATGTTCATCCTGTCAGCTGAATTTTGCATAAAATGAAGCACCTCGATTGTTGTTCTTTTGCCTCTCAATATCAAATCTCCAAACAAGCCCAACAGAGCATGCAGTTACACATACAAGCAGGAGACCACTGTGATTTTGTCTTTGCAAGTCCTGCTCCAGCTCGCAGAAGCATTGGCCGTCCATTTGGTATTAGGAAGAGAGATGTAGTACCTAAGTCCATGATTAGTCAAACTGTTGTATTTCTCTTTGGCATGAAATAAGATAGTATTTGAATGCACAGTGGGGCTAATACTACTTTGTGTAGCTTTTTATGAAGATTATAAAATTGAGGCAAAAAGCAGATCTTACTGTAATTAGGAGATTAGTTGAGAGTGTTAATCATAGGGAGGAATGGATTCATATTTGCTCTGAAATTTTCTGCAACTGCTTTAAAATACCTTCAGCTGAAGGAGCTGAACTTCACTACAAACCCTTTGTGTGCTGAAGTGCAGAGTTCTCTTCATCCACTTGAATTGCAACACAGAAGTTGTGGGGCTATTTTCCCCAGAGATTCAAGAGTCCCTGTGTTCACTTTGTTGATATGTGAAGTCATTTGGGTTTTTGCAGAGCCATACAATCATTTACTTCATGTGCTAGAGGCAACCCAAACCTTTTATTCCCGTTTATTCACCCTTTGAGAAAAGATTTGGAAAAAAGTCACCGGTCATTGAAGTTTCAAGTCAGAGGCAACTTGTGAGAACTGGGAGATAAACCAACAACAGATGGGGGGAGTTGCATGTGAAGGACATACTCTACATAATGCGCCATTAAAACTTCATGAATAGGTGTCCCAGAAAAAATATTACAACGCACTAGGCTTAATATTAAATTCTTAGTTTTAGCAGTCTGGTCATTTTCAGGAAGGGATAATCAGCTTAACCGCAGCATTCACACATTTAATGTTCTGAGAGAAGAGGGATTGTCTGATTTGTCTTTTTCTTTTTTTTTCCACAGTAATTAATGAAAGTCAAAAGCAGCAACTGGAATCTGTGAGCTACTCCTCCCGCTACGCTCTGGGACTTTTTTATGAAGCCGGTACACGGATTGATGTCCCCTGGGCTGCACAGTACATCACTGATAATCCCTGCATACGCTTCATCTCCATCGATAATAAGAAACGCAATATAGGTCAGTGCTCCCATTATTTCCCTTAAACACAGTGACAATAGAGGGTGTAGATCATGAAAAATGCTGTTTAATTGAGTGTTGCTATTCTGAACAGAGTGAGTATTTAACTCCAAGCCGCAGCGGATAGCATTTAATGTCACATTTGGCCTGTAATAAAATACACAATGAAAGCGGGAAGGTCCTCAGAAAATCACCACCCAGCACATGGTTTACGTTACTGCATTTATGAAACCAGTGTCAGGGGATTTGAGACATCAAAATGTTGCTATTCCAAGAAAGAACTGGAGTTCCTTTGTTTAAACATTGATTCATACACATGCCATCTCCCATCATCCATTACTTTACAACTCCTCTTCTTTCCACTAAGCATGCTTGGAAGTAGTAATGAGTTATATAATTGAGGCTGTTCAGTCTAATTCAGAGTTAGCCAGTGTGCTTTTATGATCACGGAAAATCCTTGAAATGGCTGTGCATAGTACGGCTGCTCGGTAAAGCTTGGAGAACATCCCACAAGGCAGACACTTCTCATCTGTTTCTGGAAGATGGCAGTCGAGTAAGTATATGTTTTATTTATTGAATGTATTTCATATACCAAGAGTGTGTTGGCATAGAATAGCTCAAGAAAAACCACTAGCATTTGAGTTTAATCAAGTTCATTAGGAGCTGAAAATGCTTCCCGATTCTGTTACTTGCTCACATTGCAACAAGACCAGGTTTAACCACATCCGTGAAGTGGGGGTAAAAACCTACCCACCTTTGTGGTGACCTACAAAGCACTGTGAGTCACTGTCACAGAATAAGAAAGGATTTTCATAATCAGCTGCTGCCTAATACGTAATTATTAAGTATTACCAAATTCACTGCGCTGAAGCATGTTCAGATTTAGACCTGGGAGACTTCTGTTTCTAGTCTTCCTTGTTCAGTCGGGATTCATTGTTTCCTGCTTGTAGTCTGCAGACATCAGTGATGTTAGTACCTCCTGGGCAGGCCATTGAAAACCTTGCCTGTCACCCTTGTATCTACGTGCTGTCACCGTGCTAGAAAACAGCTATAAGGTTAGGCATGCCTTCCCTCTCTTACACTGTAATTTAATGTAATTTATGCAATTTAATGTAAAAAGCTATCATGAGGCAGTGTCGCCGTATAACAGCAGCGCTGGTGGCCAGGACCTCTGAAGACCTCTGCTCGAGCTCCGACTCACAGCAAGCTATGCTAACACAGGGTGGGGACAGCCGTGCCTTGTCTAGCTGAGGTTTTAAAAAAATAAATCCAGGATGCAGATCCCCCACATTGCTGGTGACCTGTCCGAGGGCTGCACCTCCATTGGAGGAAGAAGTGTTTCTTCATCTGCAATCTGAACTTCCCAAGGCTCAGCGTGTGGATGTTGCCTCCTGTTCCATTGCCTGCCTCTACCAATTAGAATCACGGTCGTTTGGTCGTTCAGGTTGGAAGGGACCACTGGAGGTTGTCTGGTCCTACCCCCACACAAGGTTTGAAGTTAGATTCAGCTGTGAAGTTAGATCACGTTGCTCAAGGCCCTGATGCGATGTGACTTGCCGCCTTTGCACTTCTGGCTTGTATTCAATGGTGGATCCACCATAACCAGCAGGATCTTTTCAGAAAAGTCTGTTGCTTAGCCAAACTGATGCATGGGCTTGTCCTGTGTCAGATGCAGGACCTTGCACTCCTCCTTGTTGTGGTGATAGTACAGTTCAAGTCACTCTTCCAGATATGCCCCTCTTTGCACCAAAACCAGTTGGGTAGCAATGGCTCTTGAAGTGACTCTAGGAACAGCAGTTTATGCTGGGAGCAAAGGAGTTGGAGACATGAATCAACTCACCACTGTGGAAGCCCAATTTTGTTATTTCTCCTAAGAATTTAGCTTGTTGGTCTGAAAAGAGGGAAAATAAAACAAAAGAATGGCTGAACTGGCCAAAACAAAGATGCATCCACCCTGATATGTTTCTTCCAGCAGGCACCAATAGTGAGTATGTAAAAAAAGTGTAAGGAAAGCCAAATACAGAGGGATTTTTTTTTTCTCTGGCATTGTCTCCTTGTTACTGACAATATGCAGCTGGAGATTTTCTTGCATCTAAGATAATATTGCCCTCGTTGTGTTTAACGGTAAGTACTTGATAGTTAATAGCACCTACTAGTATTGTCCATCCCAGATGCCTGATTCTTACTGTGCAGAAGAGGACACAGCCCAAGGGAGAAATTCACCCATCCTTTCCTCACCTGCTTGCATATGTGATTTCAAAGTGCCAGCACAGAGAACAACGAATATGGGATTATAATGGAATTATGAAATAGCTAAGTACAGTGTCTTTGCTGTCTCCAAATACAATTTAACTAAATAAAAAGCATATTGTTTGGGGCATGTTGTTAACAAATACATAGAAACTACCAGAACATAAGTGTTGACACATACCTTTCTTACTGAAATTTCCCTCCTATCGTGGGAGAGATCTGTTTATATGAGCGAATTTTTCCAAGAAGAACAAATTGTATACCTTCATAGGGCTGGAACAAGCTGGGGGCCAGACTGAAGATGATTTCTCTCCAGTAGGGCTCTCCTTGTGACATATAAACAGTCAACCAGCCGCCTTGACTGCACTGTCTTTCCTGGTGAACTTGCATTTTGCAGATTTGGACTTTGTTCCAGGAAAAGTAGTACTAGGGAGAGAGCAGTACGTGTTAGCTGGAGCAGTATTTCTGGCTGAGCACAGGAGGGTTGGAAAGCATGCCTGTATTGTGTTCAGTAATGCTGACGTACAGAAGTATAAAAATCAAAAGTGGTCACCAAGTGATTCACTTTTCTTCAAACACATGCACAGCTCTGCTAATAATAGAGACACACACACACATACATCACCACCAATTAATCACCACCACCTTTCCTGTGTTTTGATACTTACACATAGATATCATTCCATCTGTCATAACAGTCCTTCAAGGAAGGAGAGATGGTGTGTGGTGTTGGATTGGTGCATGCTGAAGCTAGTTCTGGTTCCATCACCACTGCGCTTGTCCAATTCTATCATCACTGCACTTTGCTCAGTTTCATCGAAGTTCATTCTTCATTAATTTGGGTGATTCTTAGTGTAATACCATTGATATGGCATGTAGTGACCACAGTAGTGATGACATACAGTATTATACAGCAATTAACATACAATTCAGTTCATTGGCTATTCTCAACCAAAATCAAATCCCCTTGAGGTACACATTGGACTTCCCCATCCTTTTGCATCACCCACCAAGTGCACCCAGGTCCTTGAGCAAAAGCAGTACCATGGATAGGTTTGCCTTTGCCCGAGGCAGGAATAACCAGGACTGTCTTCCCCAGCATATTTTTATGTGCACTACAGGGACTGTATCTCCTTCTACAGTACGTAAAAGTTTTGACTGGGCAGCTCGATTGGCAGATCCCCTGGTGTTGACTAACCAGGTGGCTTTAGCTAAATGTGTATCCCAGTGTTTGAATGTCCCACCACCCATTGCTCCAAGGGAAGTCTATATATCTTGCCATAATGCGGTGGCCCGGATGGGTTTGCCTCTGCGCTGCCAGTTGCTCTGCTTCCATTGCTGCAAGCACCCCTACAGGGCATTTGCCACCATCCATGAGTCAGTATAGAGAGAAAGCACTGGCCACTTTTCTCATTCAAGCAATATCTAAAGCCAGCTGGATGGCTTTCACCTCTGCAAACTGACTCGACTCCCCTTCTCCTTCAGCAGTTTCTGCGACTTGTCGTATAGGACTCCATACAGCAGCTTTCCACCTCCAGTGCTTTCCCACAAGATGACAGGACCCATCAGTGAACAGGACATATTTCTTCTCATTTGCTGGCAGTTTATTATACAGTGGGGCCTCTTCAGCACGTGTCACCTCCTCCTCTGGTGATATTCCAAAATCTTTGCCTTCTGGCCAGTCCATGATCACTTCCAAGATTCCTGGGTGACTGGGGTTTCCTATTCGAGCCCGTTGTGTGATTAGTGCAACCCACTTACTCCACGTAGCATCAGTTGCATGATGTGTAGAGGGAACCCTCCCTTTGAACATCCAGCCCAGCACCGGCAGTCGGGGTGCCAGCAGGAGCTGTGCTTCAGCACCAACCACTTGCGAAGCAGCTCGAACCCCTTCATATGCTGCCAATATCTCTTTCCCAGTTGGAGTACAGCGGGCTTTGGATCCTCTGTACCCCTGATTCCAAAACCCTCAGGGTCGACCTCAAGTCTCCCTTGGTGCTTTCTGCCAGAGGCTCCAGGTAGGGCCATTCTCTCCGGCTGTGGTATGGAGCAGATTTTTTACCTCCTGCCCTGCCCAGACTGGCCCAAGGGCTACTGCATGAACTATCTCCCATTTAATTTGTTCAAAGGCTTGTCATTGCTCAGGGCCCCATTTCAAATCGTTCTTCTTCCAGCTGCTGTTCATAAAATCGCATCTCCATCCGCAGAGGTAATGCGCTCAAACATTACGTAAGGAAGAGCCTACAAGAAGTGTATGTTGAATTCCCTGTGCGGTATGTATGAATATTAAATATTTGTGTGACTGGCTGCCTTAAACACTCCATCAATATTTATAACTGGTCGAGGGGACAGTGGGAATTCTTCAGTATAAATTATTTCAAGCCTCATTTCTGTAATACTGCAGTCTTTGCATCTCTTTGCATGCTGGAGGACTAAAGATAGATGACACATAAAAATGGAAGCAGTTCTCTTCTTTTGCTTCAGGAATGCAAGGTTATATAATTTAAAGGGAAGATTCATCTTACAAGTTTTCAGGATCAGCGTAATTCTTGAGTCCTTTTTAATTTTAAAATACAGATTCCTTTATCTTCTCTTTACTGAAATAAGAACTTTTAGGAAGATGGAAGAGTTAAAGAGTTATTTAGGTTTTCACCTCATTACATGGCCAATTGCTTTGTAATCCCCTGCCTTGCCCTGCCTGCCTGTTAGAAAACTAATCAGGAACTGTCTGTAAGGCTAATGAAATACTG